CTAAACCAAGATAAAACCCAGCAAACATTGGTCCGACGGCGACGTCGTGTCCCTGGCCAAAAATAGTTGCGGCCAGGACGTCATAAATCGGTAAAAATATGTAACACAGAAAATTTCCTAAAAATGCATTCAGATGCATTTGTACATGTCTACAGTTGCATGCATAATAGTTATTTTAAGTTTTAGGTACGTGTAGTTATATACAGTTTATCGGGTGAAAGGACGTCACTTGGCGACGTCTTTTACACGTGCATTTATAGTCCATCATGACCCTCCATGAAATCCTTGTTAAATATGCAAAAGCTGCGCTTAATCCTCGCATGGTTTATACCGCAATAATTAATGTATTTGCCGAAGTAGTTTTTAAGAGGTTGTGAAGACGTCCAATGGCGTCCTTTACACGTCTAGTCTGGCTGTGAACGTCCACTGGCGTCTTTTGCACGTCTAGTCTAGCCAGACAGAAAACAATTATCAGGAATTATCTTTATGAAATACACGATTTGTATACAATGTAAATTATAATCAAAAAATGCCCAGTGTAGTCAAGTGATTGCAAAGCCACTGCATTTATTCATGTTGTGGATCAGTTTTAAGTTGACGTCCAGTAGGTGACGTCCTTTACACGTGCATTTATAGTCCGTCGTGACCCGCTATGAAATCCTTATGAAATATGAAAAAGCAATTATGCTTACACCTTGGCTGATATTGCAGTAAATAATTTAAATGCCCCAAATAGTTTTTACGAGGTTCTGAAGTACAATTACGTCCTCAACCTTTACACTTAACTGTGCTACCGAGATTTGATAACAAATCCCGCGATATGATTGATTATCTCGCGATAAAGCAACTACGCGCAGCCAATTTCCTGTTTTTTCTTCTTCAACCACGACGAGGCGAGAAGGACTTGATGATCGGGGGCAATTTGTTGTACAAAAAGTTGACGAACTACAACAAATCTGCTGTTTGGTAAGTACATTTTGTATTATTTTATAAATGTGATTTGAGTTTTGTAATTGGACTCAGGAACCGGAATAAATGATGCGTACACTTTCAACTGAAAGGTTTGAGTTTGGATAAAATTAATTTGGCAGAATTTCAGATTGCGACCATTTCTCCGCCGGTGAGACCAGATTTTGTTATAAGTCGCGCTTACGCGACAGCAACGTTGCAAAAGTCAAACAAAATGAAAGCGGAACGAATCTGCGAATCGAAAGCGGAACGAATCTTGCGCTACTCCTGCACGGACCCTTTATTGGTTCGGACCATTAAGGATCTTTCATAATATTTCAGGTCCAAGTCAGGTTATGTTTTCCATAAGTGTTAACATAATATCCCAAAACGGCTCTGTGATTGACTGTGTTTATATCTTACACTACAATAAAATTAACTTTTTGTGCAGGTGAGGTAATGCACAATGAAAATAGGCACATATCTGGATAGATGATTCCTCAACCATGGCCTCAGCTTTAAATGTAAAGTATTGACTGTACATTTTTGCACATTTGATTATAAATACTGTCTGTATGCAAAGAATAAATCTTATGTTTTTGATAATATTTGGAATGTAATGTGAGTGTATTATTGTCACTTAGAAGACAGTTAATGTACTCTCTATAAGGCAGTTTTCCAGTTTTGCTCTGTTACAAGTCTCTAACCATACTCTAAAGATTACCAATTTTGTGATCACTTTTGTGAATTTTATTTTTCAATTTGTCTTTCAGGGTGACATAACGAACAGCCATCTGTCAGACGTAGAATTCAGGAATCCTTCTCCAGGCCATCTGGCAAAACCGAAAGAGGCATGGCATTTTTCTTGTTTTATGTCCTTCACAAAGTTTTGTTTGTTTGTTTTGTAATGGTGTTTGTTTATTGATTAAGGTGTCTTTACTTACTTAAAATATTTTTCACCCATTTGTTTTTAATGTCTATAGTCACCAGTTCCAAATTCTGCATTATCATCCCAGTCCCAGAGGACACCCCATTGTATGTTAGAACTTTGCTATTTGCATCTTATTTTTTTTTACACAATTTACATTGAATACAAATATAGAGCCTATGTCTGTCATTGCTCAAGAAAAAGCTAAAGTACAGCCAGCTAATTTCATAGTATCTAAGTCATTATTACACTGTTAAGTGAACATTTGAACAGCAGTCTTATTACACAATTTAAAATATGCGCAGACCAGGTGTAGCCAACCCTGGTCCCCGAGAGCCACTACCCTGCTTGTTTTCCAACTATTCCTGCCCTTGCAGCTTCTGAAAACACACCTAATCCGTTAATAGTCAGCACTCAGCAGTAGGACAGGGATAGTTTGGAAATAGCAGGAGTGAGGCTCTCGAGGACCAGGGTTGGCTACCTTAGATTTAGTCATTATGAATGATCATTATATGGCTACAATAGTTTACTAGGTAGAATTGGATAACAATATGTCTAAATCCTTGCTACATCTACAAAGTAGGCCTAGTTAAAATAAAACAATATTGTTTACTGTTTTTTAAAAAAAAATTATTAAACTACTCTCTTATTTAAGTCTGTTATGTTTTCATGAACAGAATTTCCTAATGTTGTCTTGCCTCTTGACCGCTGCATTCGGGAGAGAACACAGAAGTGAGGGTATGTACGTTAATGTTTTTTTCCAGCCATGGGGTTGTCCTATCCAAAACTGAATTTACATTTTACAAATATTTATTTAATACATCTCTTGTTCCTTAATGTAATTTTATTTTAATTATTTCACTCTTCAAACGCATTTAGTCCAGAACATCTTTTATTGGCATAAGATTATTATGCAGAAAAATAACATTGCTATTTTCAGACATTTTCAAACACCGTACGTAATTAACCTAAAAATGAGCCTTTTTTTAAACCGCATTCTCTTCCCTCAGATGCTGTGATTGTGACGAGGTGGAGCCCAAACGCCACAGATTAAGATGTTGATGCAGCAATGGCGAACACCTGAAGCACACTCAAGAAGAGCTGGATATAAAAATAGCCATAAACAAAACCAAAACCTTAAAGCCATAAACAAATTTCAAAGACTCTAAATAATTTTATTTATGTCTGTTTAACAGTAATGCAAGACTGAAGTAACTGAAAGTTAGTACTGCCACAGCTCTGACTTCTATTTATCAATGGTGGAATATTTTTAGAACGACTTTTCTGTAATATTATAGAATGTGTTGACTGTTCCTGTACTTTTGTTATATTCTGGTTTGATTAGTGGCTGCTTAACCTTAATGTGAAACTGTCAGAAAATGTCATTGTACTATTTTTATTATTATTATTTTTAGCAGTTTAACAACTGGAAGACATTTCAAATGTAATATTCTCAATAAAATGTTGTTGAAAATTATAACTCTTTTGCTTTTGTCCAGAAGTAATGTGTTGATGTAGACGTGTTTAAACCGTTTTATAGACGTCCAGGTCTGACCGGACCGATTTTGGACCCGTTTTAGAACCTAGTCAAGTTCAGATGTGTAGAAATATCCTGATTGATTGACTTTCACGAACTTATACAATATGGGTGTAATTATTTTATATGCAGGAATATACATAAAAAATAAGCCCATTTAGACGTCCGTGGACGCGCAGAAAAGACGTGCAGTTCACGGCCAGATGACGTCGAAGACGTCGGTTCAACTTCCATTTTGGAACTATTTTTCAACCATGACGGGACGTCTCGGATGGACGTCTTTTCAACGGTCAATAAACGTCAAAATGTTTGCTGGGTACTGCCTTCAGACTTTTTTAAAACAATTTTTAGCTATGTTGTAACAGATGTGCTGCAAATAGTTAATAGTTCGTTGCAATCGGGCATTTTTCCAAGTCCTTGGAATTGGTTCAGATCTTACCTGAATGGTCGGAGCTACTTTGTTAAGATCGGAAAATTCTGAATCTGATATTGGCCATGACATGTGGAGTGCCTCAGGATCAGTTCTTGGACCGCTATTATTTAATCTCTATATGTTACCTTTAGGCCAGATTATACAGAATAATGACATTAATTACCATAGTTACGCCGATGATACTCAAATATATATATGGCTTTTGATTCAGATGACAATAGTTCAATAGACGCCTTATGTCACTGCATAGAACAAATAAAAACCTGGATGAATCTAAATTTTTTACAACTAAACCAAGATAAAACCCAGCAAACATTGGTCCGACGGCGACGTCGTGTCCCTGGCCAAAAATAGTTGCGGCCAGGACGTCATAAATCGGTAAAAATATGTAACACAGAAAATTTCCTAAAAATGCATTCAGATGCATTTGTACATGTCTACAGTTGCATGCATAATAGTTATTTTAAGTTTTAGGTACGTGTAGTTATATACAGTTTATCGGGTGAAAGGACGTCACTTGGCGACGTCTTTTACACGTGCATTTATAGTCCATCATGACCCTCCATGAAATCCTTGTTAAATATGCAAAAGCTGCGCTTAATCCTCGCATGGTTTATACCGCAATAATTAATGTATTTGCCGAAGTAGTTTTTAAGAGGTTGTGAAGACGTCCAATGGCGTCCTTTACACGTCTAGTCTGGCTGTGAACGTCCACTGGCGTCTTTTGCACGTCTAGTCTAGCCAGACAGAAAACAATTATCAGGAATTATCTTTATGAAATACACGATTTGTATACAATGTAAATTATAATCAAAAAATGCCCAGTGTAGTCAAGTGATTGCAAAGCCACTGCATTTATTCATGTTGTGGATCAGTTTTAAGTTGACGTCCAGTAGGTGACGTCCTTTACACGTGCATTTATAGTCCGTCGTGACCCGCTATGAAATCCTTATGAAATATGAAAAAGCAATTATGCTTACACCTTGGCTGATATTGCAGTAAATAATTTAAATGCCCCAAATAGTTTTTACGAGGTTCTGAAGTACAATTACGTCCTCAACCTTTACACTTAACTGTGCTACCGAGATTTGATAACAAATCCCGCGATATGATTGATTATCTCGCGATAAAGCAACTACGCGCAGCCAATTTCCTGTTTTTTCTTCTTCAACCACGACGAGGCGAGAAGGACTTGATGATCGGGGGCAATTTGTTGTACAAAAAGTTGACGAACTACAACAAATCTGCTGTTTGGTAAGTACATTTTGTATTATTTTATAAATGTGATTTGAGTTTTGTAATTGGACTCAGGAACCGGAATAAATGATGCGTACACTTTCAACTGAAAGGTTTGAGTTTGGATAAAATTAATTTGGCAGAATTTCAGATTGCGACCATTTCTCCGCCGGTGAGACCAGATTTTGTTATAAGTCGCGCTTACGCGACAGCAACGTTGCAAAAGTCAAACAAAATGAAAGCGGAACGAATCTGCGAATCGAAAGCGGAACGAATCTTGCGCTACTCCTGCACGGACCCTTTATTGGTTCGGACCATTAAGGATCTTTCATAATATTTCAGGTCCAAGTCAGGTTATGTTTTCCATAAGTGTTAACATAATATCCCAAAACGGCTCTGTGATTGACTGTGTTTATATCTTACACTACAATAAAATTAACTTTTTGTGCAGGTGAGGTAATGCACAATGAAAATAGGCACATATCTGGATAGATGATTCCTCAACCATGGCCTCAGCTTTAAATGTAAAGTATTGACTGTACATTTTTGCACATTTGATTATAAATACTGTCTGTATGCAAAGAATAAATCTTATGTTTTTGATAATATTTGGAATGTAATGTGAGTGTATTATTGTCACTTAGAAGACAGTTAATGTACTCTCTATAAGGCAGTTTTCCAGTTTTGCTCTGTTACAAGTCTCTAACCATACTCTAAAGATTACCAATTTTGTGATCACTTTTGTGAATTTTATTTTTCAATTTGTCTTTCAGGGTGACATAACGAACAGCCATCTGTCAGACGTAGAATTCAGGAATCCTTCTCCAGGCCATCTGGCAAAACCGAAAGAGGCATGGCATTTTTCTTGTTTTATGTCCTTCACAAAGTTTTGTTTGTTTGTTTTGTAATGGTGTTTGTTTATTGATTAAGGTGTCTTTACTTACTTAAAATATTTTTCACCCATTTGTTTTTAATGTCTATAGTCACCAGTTCCAAATTCTGCATTATCATCCCAGTCCCAGAGGACACCCCATTGTATGTTAGAACTTTGCTATTTGCATCTTATTTTTTTTACACAATTTACATTGAATACAAATATAGAGCCTATGTCTGTCATTGCTCAAGAAAAAGCTAAAGTACAGCCAGCTAATTTCATAGTATCTAAGTCATTATTACACTGTTAAGTGAACATTTGAACAGCAGTCTTATTACACAATTTAAAATATGCGCAGACCAGGTGTAGCCAACCCTGGTCCCCGAGAGCCACTACCCTGCTTGTTTTCCAACTATTCCTGCCCTTGCAGCTTCTGAAAACACACCTAATCCGTTAATAGTCAGCACTCAGCAGTAGGACAGGGATAGTTTGGAAATAGCAGGAGTGAGGCTCTCGAGGACCAGGGTTGGCTACCTTAGATTTAGTCATTATGAATGATCATTATATGGCTACAATAGTTTACTAGGTAGAATTGGATAACAATATGTCTAAATCCTTGCTACATCCACAAAGTAGGCCTAGTTAAAATAAAACAATATTGTTTACTGTTTTTTTTTTTAATTTATTAAACTACTCTCTTATTTAAGTCTGTTATGTTTTCATGAACAGAATTTCCTAATGTTGTCTTGCCTCTTGACCGCTGCATTCGGGAGAGAACACAGAAGTGAGGGTATGTACGTTAATGTTTTTTTCCAGCCATGGGTTGTCCTATCCAAAACTGAATTTACATTTTACAAATATTTATTTAATACATCTCTTGTTCCTTAATGTAATTTTATTTTAATTATTTCACTCTTCAAACGCATTTAGTCCAGAACATCTTTTATTGGCATAAGATTATTATGCAGAAAAATAACATTGCTATTTTCAGACATTTTCAAACACCGTACGTAATTAACCTAAAAATGAGCCTTTTTTTAAACCGCATTCTCTTCCCTCAGATGCTGTGATTGTGACGAGGTGGAGCCCAAACGCCACAGATTAAGATGTTGATGCAGCAATGGCGAACACCTGAAGCACACTCAAGAAGAGCTGGATATAAAAATAGCCATAAACAAAACCAAAACCTTAAAGCCATAAACAAATTTCAAAGACTCTAAATAATTTTATTTATGTCTGTTTAACAGTAATGCAAGACTGAAGTAACTGAAAGTTAGTACTGCCACAGCTCTGACTTCTATTTATCAATGGTGGAATATTTTTAGAACGACTTTTCTGTAATATTATAGAATGTGTTGACTGTTCCTGTACTTTTGTTATATTCTGGTTTGATTAGTGGCTGCTTAACCTTAATGTGAAACTGTCAGAAAATGTCATTGTACTATTTTTATTATTATTATTTTTAGCAGTTTAACAACTGGAAGACATTTCAAATGTAATATTCTCAATAAAATGTTGTTGAAAATTATAACTCTTTTGCTTTTGTCCAGAAGTAATGTGTTGATGTAGACGTGTTTAAACCGTTTTATAGACGTCCAGGTCTGACCGGACCGATTTTGGACCCGTTTTAGAACCTAGTCAAGTTCAGATGTGTAGAAATATCCTGATTGATTGACTTTCACGAACTTATACAATATGGGTGTAATTATTTTATATGCAGGAATATACATAAAAAATAAGCCCATTTAGACGTCCGTGGACGCGCAGAAAAGACGTGCAGTTCACGGCCAGATGACGTCGAAGACGTCGGTTCAACTTCCATTTTGGAACTATTTTTCAACCATGACGGGACGTCTCGGATGGACGTCTTTTCAACGGTCAATAAACGTCAAAATGTTTGCTGGGAAC